CCCTTTGGAGTTTTCATTCCCAGGATGATTTCTGTCCCTTTTCCCCCTTTTTCCCAGGATTATTACAAGATCATCAAAACCCCGATGGACATGGGAACAATCAAGAAGCGCCTGGAGAACAATTATTACTGGAACGCCCAGGAATGTATCCAGGATTTCAACACCATGTTTACAAACTGCTACATCTACAACAAGGTACCCCCAGGGCCCGGATCTGCCTTTTCCCGAGGGGAATTTCCCTTGGAAGGAGCCTCTGCCGAGCTCGGCTCCGTTGGGAAAACAATCAGGATTGAAGGGGCGGGATCGCGGTTTCCCCTCGGCCTTCCCTCCCCCTGGAATTCTCAGCAGAGATCTTCACTCTGGATTATTCCCGGTTTTTTCCCTTTCTTGGAAGGGATATTTTAAGGTTTTCTCGGGGTCTGACCCGGAGCAGAGCCGGGAATGTCGGCGGATCCTCCAGGAGCCGCTTCCGGCCTTCCCTTTTCCCGCAGCTTTGTTGGGAAGCCGAGTGGAGCCGGGTTTGGGAAGTCAGGGGGGAAAAGCCAGGGATGTTATGGAATGTTGAGCTTGTCACGGATCTGCAGCCTCCTCCCAGAAAATTCCCTGCAGGCAGTGAAGAGAGGAAAATGCCAAAGGGATTGGGCGGGAAATAGAGGAAAATCCCAAAGGATTGGGTGGGAAGTAGAGGAAAATCCCAGAGGGATTGTGTAGGAAATAATAGAGGAAAATCCCAAAGGAATTGGGTGGGAAATAGAGGAAAATCCCAAAGGATTGTGTGGGAAATAATAGAGGAAAATCTCAAAGGATTGTGTGGGAAATAGAGGAAAATCCCAAAGGATTGGGTGGGAAATAATAGAGGAAAATCCTAAAGGATTGTGTGGGAAATAGAGGAAAATCCCAAAGGGATTGGGTGGGAAATAATAGAGGAAAATCCCAAAGGAATTGGGTGGGAAATAATAGAGGAAAATCCCAAAGGAATTGGGTGGGAAATAGAGGAAAATCCCAAAGGATTGTTTGGGAAATAATAGAGGAAAATCCTAAAGGATTGTGTGGGAAATAGAGGAAAATCCCAAAGGAATTGGGTGGGAAATAATAGAGGAAAATCCCAAAGGAATTGGGTGGGAAATAATAGAGGAAAATCCCAAAGGATTGGGTGGGAAATAATAGAGGAAAATCCCAAAGGATTGTGTGGGAAATAGAGGAAAATCCCTCTTTTCCCTCTCCCCCTTGGAAAAGCGCCTCTGGCCCGGGCAGAACAGCCCCGTGTTGGGTCGTTCTCCATCCCTGCCCATTCCCTGCTTTCCCCTATAAAACCCTGGCAGTCGAGGGTTCGGATTCCCCGGAGCGCGGGGCCGATCCCGTGGGCCTTTTCCCTTGGGAATTCCCGTCCGGAATCGCTCTCCCGGCCTGATTCCCGCTCTCCCCGTGTCCCGCAGCCGGGGGACGACATAGTCTTAATGGCAGAAGCTCTGGAAAAGCTTTTCCTGCAGAAGATCTCGGAGATGAGCCAGGAGGAGACGGAAATCGTCATCGCCCAGACCAAGGGCCGGGGCCGCGCGCGGAAGGAAGCAGGTACGGACAGACCCCCGTTCCCGCGGAATTCCGGGGGGCAGCGCCCGGCTCTGCCGGCCCCGGGGCTGCTGGCACCTTCCCTCCCGCTGGAGCGGTTAATCGGGGCGTTAATTAAACCCCGGGATGTTAATTGAGGTGTTAATTAAACCCCGGGATGTTCCTTTGGAAGCGGGGCGGGAAGCGGGATGGGCACAGCCCCGCTCCGGCCCCATTCCCCGGGGGGGGTCTCTGGAGAATCCAAGGATCTCCAAGGCCTCATCCCTGCCTTCTGGGCATCGGTTTGGGGAGAAAAAGGAGCGTTTTGGGGCAGAGTTTGGCACCAAAACGCCCCTTCCGTTGCCGGGCGTCCGTGGCTCCGGTGGAGCGTCGGCATTCCCAGAGGGAAGGGTTGGATTTGATGTCCCTCGGCAGCCCGGGGGTGAAGCTGAGCTGTTCCAATCCACGGGAATCCCGTCGGTTCGGGCCCCCTCGGGTCTCTTGGCGGCTTTTTTCCTTCCTTCCTTCCCCGATGGAAAAACGTCACGTTGGGACGGAAAAGCACGGGAGGCTCCCGAGAAAGCAGGGCTGGACTGGGATGGACTGGGATGGACTGGGATGGACTGGGATGTCCTGAGGGTGACTCTCCTCCCTGTAACTGCCCCCAGCGCCCATTCCCAGCCCTCGTTTATTAATTAGTGTTGGTTTGGGATGGATAACGAGCTCCCCATCCCTGGAAAGGGGGTGAGGTGGGACGTGGAACATGGATTCGCTCCTGCAGGGCCAGAATCCCAAAAAAAACCCCTTTTTGGTGGCCAGAACCCTGAGGGGGAGGAATCCCTTCCCCAAATCCATTTAAATCCCCCCTTTTTCCAGGGGGAAGCCGTTCCCTGTGTCCTGTCCCTCCATCCCATGTCCCCAATCCCTCTCCAGCTCTCCTGGAGCCCCTCGGTGTCCTCGGCAAACCCGCAGGAAAAGCCATGGGAGACACCCGGGGGCGAATCCGGAGGGATTCGGGAACTGGTTGTCTGGGAAATAGAGGAAAACCCCAAAGTGACCGGGTGGGAGATAGAGGAAAATCCCAAAGGGATTGAGGGGAAAGAGAGGAAAATCCCAGAGTGATTGAGGGGAAAGAGAGGAAAATCCCAAAGGATTGTGTGGGAAATAGAGGAAAATCCCAAAGGATTGTGTGGGAAATAGAGGAAAATCCCAAAGGGATTGTGGGGAAATAGAGGAAAATCCCAAAGGATTGTGTGGGAAAGGGAGGAAAATCCCAAAGGATTGTGTGGGAAATAGAGGAAAATCCCAAAGGGATTGTGGGGAAATAGAGGAAAATCCCAAAAGGATTGTGGGGAAATAGAGGAAAATCCCAAAGGATTGTGTGGGAAATAGAGGAAAATCCCAAAGGGATTGTGTGGGAAATAGAGGAAAATCCCAAAGGGGTTGTGTGGGAAATAGAGGAAAATCCTAAAGGGATTGTGTGGGAAAGGGAGGAAAATCCCAAAGGGATTGTGTGGGAAAGGGAGGAAAATCCCAAAGGGATTGTGTGGGAAAGGGAGGAAAATCCCAAAGGGGTTGTGTGGGAAAGGGAGGAAAATCCCAAAGGGATTGTGGGGAAATAGAGGAAAATCCCAAAGGGGTTGTGTGGGAAATAGAGGAAAATCCCAAAGGGATTGATGGGAAATAGAGGAAAATCCCAAAGGGATTGAGAGGAAATAGAGGAAAATCCCAAAGGGATTGATGGGAAATAGAGGAAAATCCCAAAGGGATTGATGGGAAATAGAGGAAAATCCCAAAGGATTGTGTGGGAAATGGAGGAAAATCCCAAAGGGGTTGTGTGGGAAATAGAGGAAAATCCCAAAGGGGTTGTGTGGGAAATAGAGGAAAATCCCAAAGGGATTGTGGGGAAAGAGAGGAAAATCCCAAAGGGATTGATGGGAAATAGAGGAAAATCCCAAAGGGGTTGTGTGGGAAATAGAGGAAAATCCCAAAGCAATTTTCTGGCAAACAGGAAAATCCCAAAGGGATTGAGAGGAAATAGAGGAAAATCCAAAAGTGATTATCTGGGAAATAGAGGAAAATCCCAAAGTGATTGAGGAGAAATAGAGGAAAATCCCAAAGGAATTGTGTGGGAAATAGAGGAAAATCCCAAAGGGATTGTGTGGGAAATAGAGGAAAATCCCAAAGGGATTGATGGGAAATAGAGGAAAATCCCAAAGGGATTGATGGGAAATGGAGGAAAATCCCAAAGGGATTGATGGGAAATAGAGGAAAATCCCAAAGGGATTGTGTGGGAAATAGAGGAAAATCCCAAAGGATTGTGTGGGAAAGGGAGGAAAATCCCGACTCGTTGCTGTCGGAGCCCTCGGAGCTGCCGGAGGAGGGAACGTTCCGGTGCTGCCATCACCTGGCAGCCCATGGAATCTGGGGGTGGAATGTTGGCTCCAGCAGAGCCGATCCGGAACGGGAACCGGCGCGGTCGGAATTCCTTGGGGAACCACGAGCTCTCAGTGCAATGGGAATTCCCTGGGGAGCCACGCGCTCCCGGCGTGACAGGAATTCCCTGAGAATCCATGAGCTCCCAGGGCAATGGGAATTCCGTGGGGTGCCACGAGCTCCCAATGGAACGGGAATTCCCTGAGAATCCACGAGCTCCCAGGGCAATGGGAATTCCCTGGGGAGCCACAAGCTCCCAGTTTGTTGGGAATTCCCTTGGGAGCCACGAGCTCCCAGTGAAACAGGAATTCTCCAGGGAACCACGAGCTCCCAGTGCAGCGGGAATTCCCTGGGGATCCACGAGCTCCCAATGCAACGGGAATTCCCCAGAGAGCCACGAGCTCCCAGTTTGTTGGGAATTCCCTGTGGAACCACGAGCTCCCAGTGCAACGGGAATTCCTTTGGGTACCACGAGCTCCCAGTTTATTGGGAATTCCCTGGGGAGCCACGAGCTCCCAGGGCAATGGGAATTCCGTGGGGAGCCACGAGCTCCCAGTTTGTTGGGAATTCCCTGGGGAACCACGAGCTCCCAGTTTGTTGGGAATTCCCTTGGGAGCCACGAGCTCCCAGTGAAACAGGAATTTTCCAGGGAACCACGAGCTCCCAGTTTGTTGGGAATTCCCTTGGGATCCACGAGCTCCCAGTGCAACGGGAATTCCCTTGGGAACCACGAGCTCCCAGTTTGTTGGGAATTCCCCAGAAAGCCACGAGCTCCCAGTTTGTTGGGAATTCCCCAGAAAGCCACGAGCTCCCAGTTTGTTGGGAATTCCCTGGGGAGCCACAAGCTCCCAGTGCAATGGGAATTCCCCGGGGAACCACGAGCTCCCAGTTTGTTGGGAATTCCCCGGGGATCCACAAGCTCCCAGTTTGTTGGGAATTCCTTGGGAGCCACGAGCTCCCAGTTTGTTGGGAATTCCCCGGGGATCCACGAGCTCCCAGTTTGTTGGGAATTCCCGTTCCAGCGGCTCAGGAGAAGAGGGAAGGAAACAACCCCCCCAACCCCCTCTCTGTTCTCTCGGCAGTGACGTCCAAACCCGGCTCCTCCACGGTCCCCAACGTCACCCAAGCCTCGTCCCCGGTGCCGCCGCCGCCGCCGGCGCCGAGCCTGCCTTCGGCACAGACCACCCATTCCTTCCCCTCCGTCACCCCCGACCTCATCGTGCCCAGCCCGGTGATGACGATGGTGCCTCCTCAGCCCCCCGCGCCGCCCCCGCCGGCCCCCCAGGCCCCCGCGCCCGCCCCGGCCCCCCAACCCCTGCAGCCCCACCCGCCCGTCATCCCCACGCCCGCCCAGCCCGTCAAGGTGAGTGGCTGCCTCGTTAGCACTAATTAACATGGTACAGCCCCCCAGCCCCACCCACCCGTCATCCCCACGCCCGCCCAGCCCGTCAAGGTGAGTGGCTGCCTCGTTAGCACTAATTAACATGGTACAGCCCCCCAGCCCCACCTGCCCGTCATCCCCACGCCCGCCCAGCCCGTCAAGGTGAGTGGCTGCCTCATTAGCACTAATTAACATGGTAGAGCCCCCCAGCCCATGCAGCCCTGCACACCCAGCCTGTGAAGGTGAGTGGCTGCTTTATTAGCCCTAATTAACATGGTACAGCCCCCCAGCCCCACCCGCCTGTCATCCCCACGCCCGCCCAGCCTGTGAAGGTGAGTGGCTGCCTCATTAGCCCTAATTAACATGGTACCGCCCCTCCAGCCCCACCCCTCTGTCATCCCCACACCCACCCAGCCTGTGAAGGTGAGTGGCTGCCTCGTTAGCCCTAATTAAAATGGTACAGCCCCCCAGCCCATGCAGCCCCACTCACCCAGCCTGTGAAGGTGAGTGGCTGCTTCATTAACCCTAATTAACATGGTACAGCCCCCCAGCCCCACCCACCCATCATCCCCACCCAGCCCGTCAAAGTGAGTGGCTGCCTCGTTAGCCCTAATTAACGTGGTACAGCCCCCCAACCCCACCCCCGCCCAGCCCGTGAAGGTGAGTGACTGCTTCGTTAGCCCTAATTAACGTGGTACAGCCCCCCAGCCCCACCCACCCGTCATCCCCACGCCCGCCCAGCCTGTCAAGGTGAGTGGCTGCCTCGTTAGCCCTAATTAACATGGTACAGCCCCCCAGCCCCACCCCCGCCCAGCCCGTTAAGGTGAGTGGCTGCTTCGTTAGCCCTAATTAACATGGTACAGACCCCCAGCCCCACCCACCCAACCCGTGAAGGTGAGTGGCTGCCTCGTTAACCCTAATTAACATGTTATGGCCGAATTTGTGTTGGCGGTGCGGGAACACCGTGGTCGGTCAAGAGGTTGCTGTTTATGTCACCCACAGAGTCCTGTTTGAAGGCAAACGGCCACGTTTTGGTCCAAAAAACTCGTGTTTTGAGAAATAGGAGGAGCCAGTGGCGACCTCTGGGGTGCTGGTTAAAGTTCGACTTGAGGAGTTCATGGAATCATGGAATGGGTTGGGTTGGGAGGGACCTTAAAGCTCGTCCAGCCCTGGGCAGGGACACCTTCCACAGCCCAGGAGGTTCCACCCAGGTTTCCATGGAAAAGCCTTTCCCAGTGAAACCTTCCTGGAGCCGTTTAAGACTCAGGAGGAAAATCTCAGCTCAGGCCCTCGAGCTTTGCTGCTCCAACTGGGATAATCCAATCCCTGATTTCCCACAACCCTCAGTCCAAATGAGCACTTTGGGAAGGTCTCCAACGCCTTCCTCGTAGCGTTGAGTTGAGTTGAGTTGAGTTGAGTTGAGCCAGCGGTGGCTCCGAGTCAGCAGGGCGGGAGCCAAAGGGAACATTCCATCGGTGACGTTGGATTCTCCCCTCGTTCCCAGACAAAAAAAGGGGTGAAGAGGAAAGCAGACACCACGACCCCCACCACCATCGACCCGATCCACGACTCGTCGTCGCTGCCCGCCGAGCCCAAGTCCGCCAAGCTGGGCCCGCGGCGGGAGAGCGGCCGCCCCGTGAAGCCTCCAAAGAAGGACGTTCCCGACTCGCAGCAGCACGCGGCGGAGAAGAGCAGCAAGGTCTCGGAGCAGCTCAAGTACTGCGGCGGGATCATCAAGGAGATGTTCGCCAAGAAGCACGCGGCCTACGCGTGGCCCTTCTACAAACCTGTGGACGTGGAAGCTCTGGGGCTGCACGACTACTGCGACATCATCAAGCACCCCATGGATCTGAGCACAATCAAAGTAAGCTCGGCCTCGGGGCGGAGGGGGGTGTTCGGCGGGAACACGGCGGGTTTGGCCGAGCGCCGAGCGCGACGTGCCGGCTCTGGCTCGGCCACGGGGTTTGGGGGCCTTTGCTCTCTTTGTCCTCTTGATTCCCTGACATTGGGGAAGGACAAACGCCCCGGCTCCGTGAACCGACCGAAAACCCAGAATCCAGAAATTTTGGTGCCTCTGGGGGATTAAATTAAATTATCCCCTAAATTATCTCTTAAATTATCCCTCTCCCAAAGTTTGGTCCTTCTGTCGAACTCCACGTTCCCAGCTGACGGGGAGGAAATTTGGGAGCTGAGCGTGGGATCCTGGATCCAGGTGGATCCAGGGATGAGAGGGACAGAGGAACCTCAACCCTCCGGAGTTTTCATTCCCGGGCTGATTTTTTTTTCCCCTCTTAGGAACGCTGACATTTGGTTTTTTAGGGAAAATCTCTGTCATTGTATGAATCTCCCCGTTTTTTAGCCCAGGAGAGACCCCAGAGCAGAAATCCTGGGAATGGGGGTTTGATTGAAATCAAACCCATTTCTAATCCCTTTTAAAACAAAGACTGGTCTCTCTCAAAAGTTGGTCTTCTCCTAAGCTCGGGGAGAAGAACCAAAACCAGTTGCTCTTTTGACCAAAACACATTCTTCTTTTGACCAAAAGCAGCCTTTCTTTTTGACCAAAATAAGGAATTCTTTTGACCAAAATTGGTGGTTCTTTTGACCAAAATCAGCAGTTCTGTTTGACCTAAACTAGTCTGTCTTTTTGACTGAAACAAACCTCTCTTTTGACCAAAACAAGTCACTCTTTTTGACCAAAACAAGCCTCTTTTGATCAGGTTGCTCTTTTTGACCAAAACCCATCGTTCTTTTGACCGAAACCCGACATTCTTTTGACCAAAACTAGATTCTCTTGGACCAAAACAATTTAGTTCTTCTGCATCAAAATCAGTTGTTCTTTTTGTTGAAGCTTGGTGGTTCTTTGGCCCAACATTAGTTTGCCCCCGTGACCAAAACCAGTCGGAAGAGCCCCGTGCAATCCGTCCCGTCCGCCGTTCCGGCAGAGGGTTGTGTTGCTTTTTCTCTCTCTCCTCTCCCCCCCTAGTCCAAGCTGGAGAACCGGGAATACCGGGATGCTCAGGAATTCGCGGCCGACGTGCGGTTGATGTTCTCCAACTGCTACAAGTACAACCCCGCCGACCACGAGGTCGTGGCCATGGCGCGGAAGCTGCAGGTGAGGACGCGCGCGCTCCGCAGCCCCTCCGCTCCTTTGTCCCCTGTCGGGGCCACTTTCCCCTTGGAATGACATCCCAAACCACCCCTGTGGTGAACAACGACCCAGACTGACCCTTTTCCCCCTGGAAGTGCTGCAGGAGCTGACCTGGATCCGCCCAGTTCCCTCCTCTCCGCTGGGTTTGGTTTCACGTTGTCTTTTTCCCGTCCCTTAGTTGGTGGTGGAGGAGGAGGAAGGCGAAGCGCGGCTCCAAAATGTCCCTTTTTTCCCCCAAAATGTATAAAGAGGAAACCAGGGGCTGTTCCTGCTGCTTTAGGTCCCTCTCCCGTCGCTCTCCCAGGTGAGTTTTCCGCCCTCTGCTCGTTCCTGAAGGGTCTGTGATGAATTTAATGAGCTCCTGGTGGATCCTCACGGCTCCAGCGAAGGCGTTGGCTTCACACACGAGCTCCAGCACTCCCAAAAACCACCTGAATTCCTTCATTTCGTGGGAATTCGGAGTTTCCGTGTGGCTGAAGCCGGAAAAACGCATCATTCCACACGTTATGAGCTCCATTGCTCCCGAAAACCACCTGGATTCCTTCATTTTGTGGGAATTCTGAGTTTCTGCATGGCTGAAGCAGGAAAAATGCGTCGTTCCGTGTGTTCCGAGCTCCATCGCTCCCGAAAACCACCTGGATTCCTTCATTTTGTGGGAATTCTGAGTTTCCATGTGGCTGAAACAGGAAAAACACATCATTCCACGTGTTATGAGCTCCATTGCTCCTGAAAACCACCTGGATTCCTTCATTTCTTGGGAATTCGGAGATTCCCTGTGGTTGAAGCGGGAAAAACGCGTCGTTCCATGTGTTCCGAGCTCCATTGCTCCTGAAAACCCACCTGGATTCCTTCATTTCTTGGGAATTTGGAGATTCCCCGTGGTTGAAGTGGGAAAAACGCGTCGTTCCGTGTGTTCCGAGCTCCAGGGATTTCCCACCACAGAACCCCTGCAAGGGGTCAAAAGGCTTCAATGTTTGACTTTTAACCCAAATATTCCAGCACGGCTCCTTAAAAACGCCCCGAATCCCTCATTCCAGGCACTTCATTCCCTTCAATCCCGATTTCTCCTGGTTTTTTTGCCTCGGCAGGATTGTGGGCGCGGTTGTCGTTTTCTAAAGCGATTAATTAGGTGGTTTTTTTAATAATTCTGTCGTGTCGCGCTTGATCCAACCGAGCAGCCGGAGCTGCTCCCAAATCCCCCCAAATCCACAGGGATTCGTGTTCGAGGTGCCAAAAAGACGCTTCAGCCCCGGGGGCAGGACGGGCTCGGCAGGATGGGAGAGGACACGGGAAGCGGATCCGGGTGGGAAGAGGTTTCGTTGCCGTGGGAAAAGCTCAATTCCAGCGGCGTGGGAGGAGGAGGGATGGGCACGGAAGGAGAACAAAGCGCCTAAAAACGGGGGGAAAAGCTGTTAAATCAGGAGGAAAACTCCTAAATTGGTGAAGAAAACCCGGAATAAAGGCGGGAGGAGGGTGAGAAACACAGTTCAGGAGGAAGGTGGGAAAACAATCCCTGGCAAGGTCAGGGAGAGCCCAGAGGAGGGTCCTTAAATCCCATGGATGAGCCTGAAGTGGAAGAGCTGGAAGCTTTCAGGAAGGGAATGGTTGAGCAGCGGGTTCGGTTGCCGTGGTTGGACACCCCGGAGCGTTGGATTTGCCCAAGGATTTGGGATGAGTTGGATGAATCGGTGTCATCGTTCCCGTCTCCACTCTGTTGGATTTGCCCAAGGATTTGGGATGAGTTGGATGAATTGGTGTCATCGTTCCCATCTTCACTCTGTTGGATTTACCCAAGGATTTGGGATGAGTTGGATGAATCGGTGTCATCGTTCCCGTCTCCACTCTGTTGGATTTGCCCAAGGATTTGGGATGAGTTGGATGAATTGATGTCATCGTTCCCGTCTCCGCTCCGTTGGGTTTGGGGAACGACCCCTGACTCGTGTCCGGCGGGTTCCGCTCGCTCCACGTGCCGGGGGCTCGGGAAGCAGCGGGAAATCCGTGGGAATTGTGGGTTGAAAGTCAAAGCTTTGGGAAGGGGGAGGAATTCTCCGCGTTCTGTTCCGACTCGGCGTCGGGGAGGTGGACGCGACACCCGGGACTCCCTCGGGTTGTCCCTCCCCTGGGAGCTCCAAAAGGTTCCAGGAGGGTCCCGGGGCGAGTCACTGAGCTTGGGAAGAGGAGCCGGATCCTGAACCACCCCCGAGGAATTCTCGGGGCAAAATCCTGGGATTTTTTGTGCTTCGCCCCTCGCAGGGTGGAGCCGGGGGGGAAGGTCTTGGTTGGGGTGCAAGAGGTGCTCGTTCCTCGTCTGGGAAACTCAAATCCACGCTTGGAACCCTTCTGGTGGAGTCAGAACCCTTCAGGTGGAGCCAAAACCCTTTAGGTGGAACCAGAACCCTTCAGATGGAGCCAGAACCCTTCAGATGGAGGAACCAAAACCCTTCAGATGGAGCCAGAACCCTTCAGGTGAAGCCAAAACCCCTCAAATAGAATCAAAACCTTTCAGATGGAGCCAAAACCCTTCAGGTGGAGCCAAAATCCTTCAGGTGGAGCCAAAATCCTTCAGGTGGAGTCAGAATACTTCAGGTAGAGCCAAAATCCTTCAGGTGGAGTCAGAACCCTTCAGGTGGAGCCAAACCCCTTCTGGTGGAGCCAAAACTCTTCAGGTGGAGTCAGAACCTCTCAAATAGAATCAAAACCCTTCAGGTGGAGTCAGAACCTCTTAAATGGAATCAAAAACCTTCAAGTGGAGCCAAAACTCTTCAGATGGAGCCAAAACTCTTCAGATGGAGCCACAATCCTTCAGATGGAGTGAACAGGCACCAAGAGACAACCGGGCCAGAGACATGACCTGGCTGGAGACACAACCAGGTTCTTCTCCCTCCTCTGCCTGGGCTGGGATTTAAAGAAAAATAGGTTTTCCTATCGAGCTTTAGGAGCAAAAAGGCTTTTCCCATCAGCAGGATAAAGGAATTAAACTGGTGTCGCATCCCTGGCTCTGGAGGATGTTGGGAAGAGGCCTCGGGATCGATCGAGGTGGTTTTCCTGGGATGTGGGTTGGGAAAATCCCGGTGGGATGAAGAGGAGAAGGGGCTGCAGCTGCGATTCCCACCCTGAGCTCTGCGCTGTGAATCCATCGTGGAATTGTCACGGAATCGTTAAGGCCGGAAAAGACCTCTGAGGTCCTCGGGTCCAACCAGAGGTGACCCAGGAGGCCGTCGAAGATCTCAAGGACCTGGACGAGGCGGCTTTTAAGTCTTGTGTGTCCCCCCCCTTCCAAACCATCTGGGAACCGCTCGGAATTCCCGCTCCGGGAGCTTTCAGGACGTTGATCCTTTGTGTGGAGCCCCCAGCTCCGGGAGCTTTTGGGTTGTGGTTGTCGATCCCTTGTGTAGAGCCCCCAGGTCTGTAGGGTCCCCCCTGCCCATCGTGTCCCCCCCCCGTCCCCGCCCGCTGCGTCACGGCCCCGCTGTGCCCGCAGGACGTGTTCGAGATGCGCTTCGCCAAGATGCCGGACGAGCCGGAGGAGCCCGTCGTCCTTCCCGCCTCCTCGCCCGCCGTGGTGCCGCCCCCCACCAAGGTGGCCCCGCCCTCGTCCAGCGACAGCAGCAGCGACAGCTCCTCCGACAGCGACAGCTCCTCCGACGACTCCGAGGAGGAGCGGGCGCAGCGCTTGGCCGAGCTGCAGGAGCAGGTACCGCGCCCGGGGGGGGTCCCTGGGGTCCCCTCCCGGTGGGATTTGGTGGTCTCGTGGTCTTGGGGGTCCCCTCCCGGTGGGATTTGGTGGTCTCACGGTCTTGGGGGTCCCCTCCTGGTGGGATTTGGTGGTCTCGTGGTCTTGGGGGTCCTCTCCTGGTGGGATTTGGTCTCATGGTCTTGGGGGTCCTCTCCTGGTGGGATTTGGTGGTCTTGTGGTCTTGGAGGTCCTCTCCTGGTGGGATTTGGTGGTCTCGTGGTCTTGGAGGTCCTCTCCTGGTAGGATTTGGTGGCCTCGTGGTCTTGGCCCAAGGCCTTGGGCTTGGCGGTTGGGTGGCGGTGACCGAGCACTGCCGAGGGCCCCAAAATCATTGGGTTCATGGGTCCCAAAATCATTGGGTTCAAGGGTCCCAAAATCGTTGGGTTCAAGGGTCCCAAAATCGTTGGGTTTCGGGGCACGGAGGGGTCGGTGTTTTTTGGGGACAGTCCCTCCGGTGAGGACACGGGAGGTTCCCAAGGGCAGGAATTCGCTGCTGCTCCTGGGTGGTGTCCTCGTGGTTGGATTTGGGGGGACGAGGGTGGTCTTGGCCTTGATGGTCTTGGAGGTCTCTTCCAACCCTGGTGACTCGTTGGCAGTGGTTGGACTCGATGACCTTTGAGGTCTCTTCCAACCCTGGTGACTCGGTGACAATGGTTGGACTCGATGACCTTTGATGTCTCTCCAATCTTGGTGACTCGGTGACCATGGTTGGACTTGATGACCTTTGAGGTCTCTTCCAACCTTGGTGACTTGTTAGCAGTGGTTGACCTTGATGATCTTGGGGGTCTCTTCCAACCCTGGTGACTCGGTGACAATGGTTGGACTCGATGACCTTTGAGGTCTCTTCCAACCCTGGTGACTCGTTGGCAATGGTTGGACTCGATGATCTTTGAGGTCTCTCCAGTTTTGGTGACTTAGTGACCATGGTTGGACTCGATGATCTTGGAGGTCTCTTCCAACCCTGGTGACTCGTTGGCAATAGTTGGACTCGATGATCTTGGAGGTCTCTTCCAACCCTGGTGACTCGGTGACAATGGTTGACCTTGATGATCTTGGAGGTCTCTTCCAACCCTGGTGACTCGTTGGCAATAGTTGACCTTGATGGTCTTTGAGGTCTCTTCTAACCCTGGTGACTTAGTGACCATGGTTGGACTCGATGACCTTGGAGGTCTCTTCCAACCCTGGTGACTCGTTGGCAGTGGTTGGACTCGATGACCTTTGAGGTCTCTTCCAACCCTGGTGACTTGGTGACGATGGTTGGACTCGATGACCTTTGAGGTCTCTTCCCACCTGGATGATTCCAGGATTCCCGAGGGGAATCAGGACCCCCCCGGGTTGGGATTTCCCGGCAGCCCCCGGCCTTGCTCCCAGGCCCTCCCCCCTCGTGGCATCGTTAGCGCTGGTTAATTAGAGCCTCGTTAGCGATGCCTGGGCTGGGAGAGACAGCCCTGACCAGGTCTCCTTCCTCAAATGCTTAATTACCTACAAATCACTTAATTAATACGATAACCCACTTAATTACTACGATAACGAGGATGTGGTGGGCAGGAGAGGGAGACCAATGACTATGGAGGAGGAGGAGGAGGAGCTGGGCTGAAGGATGGGGCTGTTTGGGGAGCACCTCAAGGCCTGTTTGGGGAGCACCTCAAGGCCTGTTTGGGGAGCACCTCAAGCCTTCTTTGGGGAGCGCCTCAAGGCCTGTTTGGGGAGCACCTCAAGCTTTGTTTGGGGAGCACCTCAAGCCTTTTTTGGGGAGCACCTCAAGCCCTGTTTGGGGAGCACCTCAAGCCTTCTTTGGGGAGCACCTCAAGGCCTGTTTGGGGAGCACCTCAAGCCTTCTTTGGGGAGCACCTCAAGGCCTGTTTGGGGAGCACCTCAAGCCCTATTTTGGGAGCACCTCAAGGCCTGTTTGGGGAGCACCTCAAGGCCCATTTTGGGTGCACCTCAAGGCCTGTTTGGGGAGCACCTCAAGCCTTCTTTGGGGAGCACCTCAAGGCCTGTTTGGGGAGCACCTCAAGGCCTGTTTGGGGAGCATCTCAAGGCCTGTTTGGGGAGCACCTCAAGCCTTGTTTGGGGAGCACCTCAAGGCCTGTTTGGGGAGCACCTCAAGGCCTGTTTGGGGAGCACCTCAAGCCTTCTTTGGGGAGCACCTCAAGACCTGGTTGGGGAGCACCTCAAGCCCTGTTTGGGGAGCACCTCAAGGCCTGTTTGGGGAGCACCACAAGGCCTGTTTGGGGAGCACCTCAAGGCCTGTTTGGGGAGCATCTCAAGATCTGTTTGGGGAGCACCTCAAGCCTTGTTTGGGGAGCACCTCAAGACCTGGTTGGGGAGCACCTCAAGCCCTGTTTGGGGAGCACCTCAAGCCTTGTTTGGGGAGCACCTCAAGGCCCATTTTGGGTGCACCTCAAGCCTTGTTTGGGGAGCACCTCAAGACCTGGTTGGGGAGCACCTCAAGCCCTGTTTGGGGAGCACCTCAAGCCCTGTTTGGGGAGCACCTCAAGCCCTGGTACCGGTTCTGGGCCCCTCAAGCCAAGGCAGACGTTGAGGGGCTGGAGTGTGACCAGGGAAGGGAACGGAGCTGGGAAAGGGTCTGGAGAACTCCCACGGGAGCTGGGGAGGCTCAGCCTGGAGAAAAGGAGGCTCAGGGGGGACCTTCTGGCTCCCAATTCCCAGGAGGAAGGGCAGAGCCGGGTGGGGGGTCGGGCTCTGCTCCCAAGGGGACAGGACAGGAGGAAACGGCCTCGAGCTGCCCCGGGGGAGGGTCAGGTTGGCCTTGAGGAGGAATTTCCCCCTGGAAAGGGTGGTCGGGCACTGGAAGGGGCTGCCCGGGGAGGTGGTGGAGTCCCCACCCCTGGAGGTGTCCCCAAGGCACTCGGTGACCAGGGTCAGTCCGAGGGTGGACTCGCCGCTCCGGGAGGTCTTTCCCGAGCCCAGCATTCCGTGATTCCCCGATTCTCCCCCGGCAGCTCAAGGCCGTGCACGAGCAGCTGGCGGCCCTGTCCCAGCCCCAGCAGAACAAACCAAAGAAAAAGGAGAAGGACAAGAAGGAGAAGAAGAAGGAGAAGCACAAAAAGAAGGAGGAGCTGGAAGAGGCCAAGAAAAGCAAAGCCAAGGAGCCGCAGCCCAAGAAGGCCAAGAAGAGCAACAGCAACAGCAGCACCTCCAGGTGAGCCCTTCCCTTCCCTCCCGGCCCAGATCCTCGGCAGGGCAGCATTTCCCCTTCCCTCGTTAGCGTAATTAGCACAGGAGCCTTAACGAGTAACCCCCACCCCGCCCCGGAGGGGTCGAGATCTTGGGCACCATCCTTCTCTGTGGCTGCTGAGCGGGTTGAGCTGAGCCTTGGGTGTCCAGGAGCAGGTTGAGCTGAGCCTTGGGTGTCCAAGGGCAGGTTGAGCTGAGCCTTGGGTGTCCAGGGGCAGGTTGAGCTCAGCCTTGGGTGTCCAAGGGCAGGTTGAGCTGAGCCTTGGGTGTCCAGGGGCAGGTTGAGCTCAGCCTTGGGTGTCCAAGGGCAGGTTGAGCTGAGCCTTGGGTGTCCAAGAGCAGGTTGAGCTCAGCCTTGGGTGTCCAAGGGCAGGTTGAGCTCAGCTTTGGGTGTCCAAGAGCAGGTTGAGCTCAGCCTTGGGTGTCCAGGGGCAGGTTGAGCTGAGCCTTGGGTGTCCAGGAGCAGGTTGAGCTGAGCCTTGGGTGTCCAAGGGCAGGTTGAGCTGAGCCTTGGGTGTTCAAGAGCAGGTTGAGCTCAGACAGGAGCAGGTTGAGCTCAGCCTTGGGTGTCCAGGAGCAGGTTGAGCTCAGCCTTGGGTGTCCAAGGGCAGGTTGAGCTGAGCCTTGGGTGTCCAGGGGCAGGTTGAGCTCAGCCTTGGGTGTCCAAGGGCAGTTGAGCTGAGCCTTGGTGTCAGGGCAGGTTGAGCACTTGGGTGTCCAAGGGCAGGTTGAGCTGAGCCTTGGGTGTCCAAGAGCAGGTTGAGCTCAGCCTTGGGTGTCCAAGGGCAGGTTGAGCTCAGCTTTGGGTGTCCAAGAGCAGGTTGAGCTCAGCCTTGGGTGTCCAGGGGCAGGTTGAGCTGAGCCTTGGGTGTCCAGGAGCAGGTTGAGCTGAGCCTTGGGTGTCCAAGAGCAGGTTGAGCTGAGCCTTGGGTGTCCAGGAGCAGGTTGAGCTCAGCTTTGGGTGTCCAAGAGCAGGTTGAGCTGAGCCTTGGGTGTCCAGGAGCGGGTTGAGCTGAGCCTTGGGTGTCCAGGAGCAGGTTGAGCTCAGCCTTGGGTGTCCAGGAGCAGGTTGAGCTCAGCTTTGGGTGTCCAAGAGCAGGTTGAGCTGAGCCTTGGGTGTCCAGGAGCGGGTTGAGCTGAGCCTTGGGTGTCCAGGAGCAGGTTGAGCTCAGCCTTGGGTGTCCAGGAGCAGGTTGAGCTGAGCCTTGGGTGTTCAAGAGCAGGTTGAGCTCAGACAGGAGCAGGTTGAGCTCAGCCTTGGGTGTCCAGGAGCAGGTTGAGCTGAGCCTTGGGTGTCCAGGAGCAGGTTGAGCTCAGTCAAGAGCAGGTTGAGTTGAGCCTTGGGTGTCCAGGAGCAGGTTAAGCTCAGTGTTGGGTGTCCAGTGGCAGGTTAAGCTCAGTTTTGGTGTCTGTACCCGTTAAGCTCAGCTTTCCCCCAGACCCTCACGGTTGAGCTTTGAGCCGACCCTACTAACACCTGGGACCAAAACTAAACCCCCTGGCCCCAAACTCAACCCCCTGGCCCCAAACCTAAACCCCCTGGCCCCAAACTAAACCCTCTGGCCCCAAACTAAACCCCCTCACCCCAAACTAAACCCCCTCACCCCAAACTAAACCCCCTCACCCCAAACTAAACCCCCTGGCCCCAAACTAAACCCTCTGGCCCCAAACTAAACCCCCTCACCCCAAACTAAACCCCCTGGCCCCAAACTAAACCCTCTGGCCCCAAACTAAACCCCCTCACCCCAAACTAAATCCTCTAGCCCCAAACTAAACCCCCTCACCCCAAACTAACCCCCCTGGCCCCAAACCGACCCCCCTGACCCCGCGGGGTCCAGGCCGGGCTCTGACCCCCCTCCCGCTGTCCCCGAGCAGCAAGAAGGAGCCGGCGGCGGCCAAGCCGAGCCGGGCGGCTCCGGCCTACGAGTCGGAGGAGGAGGAGAAGTGCAAGCCCATGTCCTACGAGGAGAAGCGGCAGCTGAGCCTGGACATCAACAAACTGCCGGGGGAGAAGCTGGGCCGGGTCGTTCACATCATCCAGTCGCGGGAGCCGTCGCTCAAGAACTCCAACCCCGACGAGATCGAGATCGACTTCGAGACGCTCAAGCCGTCGACGCTGCGCGAGCTGGAGCGCTACGTCACCTCCTGCCTGCGCAAGAAGAGGAAACCCCCAGGTACCGCCCTTAGGCCCGGCTTTGGGAGGGGGACGGTTCAGTCAGGCCTGGCTTTGGGAGGGCGTGGGTTCAGTCAGGCCTGGCTTTGGGAGGGCGTGGGTTCAGTCAGACCTGGCTTTGGGAGGGGGACGGTTCAGTCAGGCCTGGCTTTGGGAGGGCGTGGGTTCAGTCAGGCCTGGCTTTGGGAGGGCGTGGGTTCCATTTGGAAACCCCCAGGTCCCACCTTTAGACCTGGTTTTGTGAGGGGGTGGGTTCCACTTGGAAACCCCCAGGTCCCACCTTTAGGCCTGGCTTTAGGGGGGTGGGTTCCACCTGGAAACCCCCAGGTACCAATTTTAGGCCCGGCTTTGGGAGGGGGTGGGTTCCACCTGGAAACCCTCAGGTACTGACTTAAGCCTGGCTTTAGAGGGGGGTGGGTTCCACCTGGGAACCCCCAGGTCCCACCTTTAGGCCTGGCTTTAGGAGGGAGTGGGTTCCACCTGGCAACCCCCAGGTGCCAACTTAGGCCTGGCTTTGGAGGATTTGGGTTCCACTTGGGGTTTTGGGCCCTCGGTTTGGGGTCGTTCCCGAGGCCGTTCCCAAGGGAAGTTTATTTATAATTCCGAGTTTATTTTTAATTCCGGGTTTATCGTTCCGAGGCTGTTTCTCGTTCTGAATTGATTTTTGATTCTGAGTTTATTTTTAATTCAGTTTATTTATAATTCTGAGTTTATTTTGGATTCTGAGTTTATTTTTAATTCAGTTCATTTATAATTTTGAATTTATTTTAAATTCAGTTTATTTATAATTCTGAGTTTATTTTGGATTCTGAGTTTATTTTTAATTCAGTTTATTTATAACTCTGAGTTTATTTTGGATTCTGAGTTTATTTTTGATTCTGAGTTTATTTTTAATTCAGTTTATTTATTATTCTGAGTTTATTTTTGATTCTGAGTTTATTTTTAATTCAGTTTATTTATTATTCTGAGTTTATTTTGGATTCTGAGTTTATTTTTAATTCAGTTTATTTATAATTCTGAGTTTATTTTGGATTCTCAGTTTATTTTGGATTCTCAGTTCATTTTGGATTCTCAGTTCATTTTTAGTTCCAATTTTTTTTTTAATTCAGTTCATTTATAATTTTGAATTTATTTTAAATTCAGTTTTTTTATAATTCTGAGTTTATTTTTGATTCCGAGTTTATTTTTAATTCAGTTTATTTATAATTCTGAGTTTATTTTGGATTCTCAGTTTATTTTGGATTCTCAGTTCATTTTTAGTTCCAATTTTTTTTTTAATTCAGTTCATTTATAATTTTGAATTTATTTTAAATTCAGTTTTTTTATAATTCTGAGTTTATTTTTGATTCCGAGTTTATTTTTAGTTCCGAGTTTATTTTTAATTCGGTTCATTTATAATTCTGAGTTTATTTTTAATTCCGTTCATTTATAATTTTGAATTTATTTTAAATTCAATTTATTTATAATTCTGAGTTTATTTTGGGTTCTGAGTTTATTTTTCATTCTGAGTTTTTTTCATTCTAAATTTACTTTTAATTCCGAGTTTATTTCTAATTCCGAGTTTATTTTTAATTCGGTTCATTTATAATTCTGAGTTTATTTTTGATTCTGAGTTTATTTTTCATTCTAAATTTATTTATAATTCCAAGTTTATGTGTAATTCCAACTATATAGATCTGAGTTTATTTTTCATTCTGAGTTTTATTTTTCATTCTATATTTATTTATAAATATTATTTATAAATTTATTTATTTATTCCGAGTTTATATATAATTCCAAGTATATAATTCCCAGTTTATTTTTAATTCCGAGTTTATTTATAATTCCGAGTTTATTTTTAATTCCCAGTTTATTTTTCATTCTAAGTCTATTTATTTAATGCTTTCAAGTTTATTTCTAATTCCAATTTTATTTTCATTCTGAGTTTATTTTTCATTCGGTTTATTTAGAATTCTGATTATTTTTTTAATCCCGAGTTTATTTCTAATTCCGAGTTTATTTTTAATTCTGAGTTTATTTTTAATTCTGAGTTTATTTTTCATTCTGAGTTTTAATTCCAAGTATATTTTTAATTCTGAGTTTATTTTTCATTCTAAATTTATTTATAATCCCTAATTTATTTATAATTCTGAGTTTATTTATAATTCCCAGTTTATTTTTAATTCCCAGTTTATTTTTAATTCCCAGTTTATTTTTAATTCGGTTGATTTATAATTCTTAGTTTATTTTTAATTCCAAGCTTATTTTTCATTCTGAGTTTGTTTTTCATTCTAAATTCATTCTTAATTCCGAGTTTATCTTTAATTCTGAGTTTATTAATAATTCCAAGTTTATGTTTATTAATAATTCCGAGTTTATATATAATTCTGAGTTTATCTTTCATTCTGAATTTATTTTTAATTTTGCATTAATTTTTAATTCTGAGTTTATCTTTAATTCTGAGTTTATTAATAATTCTGAGTTTATTAATAATTCCAAGTTTATGTTTATTAATAATTCCGAGTTTATATATAATTCTGAGTTTATCTTTAATTCTGAATTTATTTTTAATTCTGAGTTTATCTTTAATTCTGAGTTTATCTTTAATTCCGAGTTTATTTTTAATTCAGTTTATTTATAATTCTGAGTTTGTTTTTCATTCTGAGTTTGTTTTTAGTTCTGAGTTTTATGGGTGGTTAATGAGGTGATTACAGCTGGTTAATGAGATAATTAGGGGTGGTTGGTTAGTTGATTATGGGTGGTTAATGAGGTAATTACAGTTGTTTAATTTGGTAATTATGGCTGGTTAATGAGGGGATTACGGGTGGTTAATGAGGGGATTATGGGTGGTCAGTTAATTGATTACAGGTAGTTAATGAGGTGATTATGGTTAGTTGATTACAGGTAGTTAATGAGGTGATTACAGGTGGTTAGTTGATTACAGGTAATTAATGAGGTGATTACAGGTGGTTGGTTAGTTGATTACAGGTAATTAATGAGGTGATTACAGATGGTTGGTTAGTTGATTACAGGTAATTAATGAGGTGATTACAGATGGTTGGTTAGTTGATTACAGGTAATTAATGAGGTGATTACAGATGGTTGGTTAGTTGATTACAGGTAATTAATGAGGTGATTACAGGTGGTTAATAAGGTAATTACAGCTGGTTAATGAAGTATTGTGGTGGTTTGTTGATATGGGTGGTTAATGAGGTGACTGTGGGTGGTTAATGAGGTGACTGTGGGTGGTTAATGAGGTGACTGTGGGTGGTTAATGAGGTGACTATGGGTGGTTAATGAGGTGACTGTGGGTGGTTAATGAGGTGACTATGGGTGGTTAATGAGGTGACTGTGGGTAGTTAATGAGGTGATTATGGGTGGTTAATAAGGTAAATACAGCTGGTTAATGAAGTGATTGTGGTAGTCAGTTGATATGGGTGGTTAATGAGGTGACTGGGTAGTTAACGAGGTGACTGTGGGTAGTTAATGAGGTGATTATGGGTGGTTGATGAGGTGACTGGGTAGTTAACGAGGTGACTGTGGGTGGTTAATTAGGTGATTATGGGTGGTTAACAAGATGACTATGGGTGGTTAATGAGGTGATTATGGATAGTATATGAGGTGACTGTGGGTAGTTAATGAGGTGACTGTGGGTAGTTAATGAGGTGACTGTGGGTGGTTAATGAGGTGACTGTGGGTAGTTAATGATGTAACTGTGGGTAGTTAATGATGTAACTATGGGTGGTTAATGAGGTGACTGTGGGTAGTTAATGAGGTGACTGTGGGTGGTTAACAAGGTAACTATGGGTAGTTAATGATGTAACTATGGGTGGTTAATGAGGTGACTGTGGGTAGTTAATGAGGTGATTATGGGTGGTTAATGAGGTGACTGTGGGTAGTTAATGAGGTGACTATGGGTGGTTAATGAGGTGACTGTGGGTAGTTAATGAGGTGATTATGGGTGGTTAACAAGGTAACTATGGGTAGTTAATGAGGTGATTAGTGGTGGTTAATGCAGTGACTGTGGGTAGTTAATGAGGTGACTATGGGTGGTTAATGAGGTGACTGTGGGTAGTTAATGAGGTGACTGTGGGTAGTTAATGATGTAACTATGGGTGGTTAATGAGGTGACTGTGGGTAGTTAATGATGTAACTATGGGTGGTTAATGAGGTGACTGTGGGTAGTTAATGATGTAACTATGGGTGGTTAATGAGGTGATTATGGGTAGTTAATGATGTGACTATGGGTGGTTAATGAGGTGACTGTGGGTAGTTAATGAGGTGATTATGGGTGGTTAACAAGGTAACTATGGGTAGTTAATGAGGTGATTAGGGGTGGTTAACAAGGTAACTATGGGTAGTTAATGATGTAACTATGGGTGGTTAATGAGGTGACTGTGGGTAGTTAATGAGGTGATTATGGGCGGTTAATGAGGTGACTATGGGTGGTTAATGATGTAACTATGGGTGGTTAATGAGGTGACTGTGGGTAGTTAATGATGTAACTATGGGTGGTTAACAAGGTAACTGTGGGTAGTTAATGATGTAACTATGGGTGGTTAATGAGGTGACTATGGGTGGTTAATGAGGTGACTGTGGGTAGTTAATGATGTAACTATGGGTGGTTAATGAGGTGACTATGGGTGGTTAATGAGGTGACTGTGGGTAGTTAATGAGGTGATTATGGGTAGTTAATGAGGTGACTGTGGGTAGTTAATGAGGTGACTGTGGGTAGTTAATGATGTAACTATGGGTGGTTAACGAGGTGACTGTGGGTAGTTAATGATGTAACTATGGGTGGTTAATGAGGTGACTATGGTTGTTTAATGAGATGATTACGGGTGGCCAGTTACTCGATCAGGGCTGGTTAACGAGCTGATTAGTCCTGTCTAACGACCCGCCCTGTCCCCGCAGCCGAGAAGGTCGACGTCCTGGCCGGCTCGTCCAAGCTCAAGGGCTTCTCGTCGTCGGAGTCGGAGAGCAGCAGCGAGTCCAGCTCCTCCGACAGCGACGAGTCGGACTCAGGTTAGCGCTTCCCGCCGCTCCCTCCCACCCTTCCCGCCCTTCCCGCCCCTCCCGCTCCCGCTCCGGACAAATAAACTCGTTTTCAGTCCTGCCTCGGTCTTTTAATTGTTCTTTTGAAGCTCCCCGGGACGGCCCAACCCGGCGCCGGGGGTCGGGCGGGGCGGGGACTCCTCCGACCCCATTCCGGGGCTTTTCCTCGGCTTTTCCTTGGAGGGCTTGGCTTGACCCCCCACCCCCACCCCGGATCGGTGTTTTTAGGGGAAAAAACGGTGCTTTTGCCTCCGGGGAAGCGTCGGAAACGTCGGTGCCGACGCGGAGGATGGAAAAGAAACGGGAGGGGAGGGGATTTTGTGGATGAAAAGCTTTTCGGGCGGGTCTCGGTTCCGGGATCTCGAGGGGAAAATCGGGTTGAAATGGGAATTTTGGGATCCCCCGGGAGGTGTCTCCCTCATGCCTCTGGTTTAAGTCCCTCCTGGTTCAAGTCCCAGATACCTGGTTTAAGTCCCAGATAACCTGGGTTTAAATCACCATTACCCGGGTGCTCATCCCAAATCCAGAGCCTCAATCCCAGTGTCCCATTCCCAAACACACCCAGAGAACCAGGTTTAATCCACAGAGAACCAGGTTTAATTCACACATAACCAGGTTTAATCCACAGAGAACCAGGTTTAATTCACTCATAACCAGGTTTAATTCACTCATAACCAGGTTTAATCCACAGATAACCAGGTTTAATCCACAGAGCACCAGGTTTAATTCACTCATAACCAGGTTTAATCCTCAGAGCACCAGGTTTAATTCACTCATAACCAGGTTTAATTCACACATAACCAGGTTTAATTCACAGAGAACCAGGTTTAATTCACACATAACCAGGTTTAATTCACACATAACCAGGTTTAATCCACAGAGAACCAGGTTTAATCCACAGAGAACCAGGTTTAATTCACTCATAACCAGGTTTAATTCACACATAACCAGGTTTAATCCACAGAGAACCAGGTTTAATTCACACATAACCAGGTTTAATTCACTCATAACCAGGTTTAATTCACTCATAACCAGGTTTAATCCACAGAGCACCAGGTTTAATTCACACATAACCAGGTTTAATCCACAGAGAACCAGGTTTAATTCACACATAACCAGGTTTAATCCTCAGAGCACCAGGTTTAATCCACAGAGCACCAGGTTTAATCCACAGAGAACCAGGTTTAATCCACAGAGAACCAGGTTTAATTCACACATAACCAGGTTTAATCCACAGAGAACCAGGTTTAATTCACACATAACCAGGTTTAATCCTCAGAGCACCAGGTTTAATTCACAGAGAACCAGGTTTAATTCACACATAACCAGGTTTAATTCACAGAGCACCAGGTTTAATTCACACATAACCAGGTTTAATTCACACATAACCAGGTTTAATTCACACATAACCAGGTTTAATCCACAGAGCACCAGGTTTAATTCACTCATAACCAGGTTTAATTCACACATAACCAGGTTTAATTCACTCATAACCAGGTTTAATTCACACATAACCAGGTTTAATCCACAGAGCACCAGGTTTAATTCACTCATAACCAGGTTTAATTCACACATAACCAGGTTTAATTCACACATAACCAGGTTTAATCCACAGAGAACCAGGTTTAATTCACACATAACCAGGTTTAATCCACAGAGCACCAGGTTTAATCCACAGAGCACCAGGTTTAATTCACTCATAACCAGGTTTAATTCACACATAACCAGGTTTAATCCACAGATAACCAGGTTTAATTCACACATAACCAGGTTTAATTCACACATAACCAGGTTTAATTCACACATAACCAGGTTTAATCCACACACATCCACGCCCCAAACTTGGAAAATCGGGATGAATTTTAGCCCCAAAACGCTTCCATTTTGAATTTTTTCCCCACAAACCCTCGACCTGCCGCCAGTATTTTCCCAAAATCTCTTTCTTTTGATCTCCCCTCCGGGGTTTCGCCGCCGTGGAACCACCAACTTCTTCCCCCCCCAAAAAAAAAACCAGGAGAAAAACTGCATCAGTTTTTCTATTTTTGGTTTTTAGGAATAAAACCAATTCAAGTGGCTTTGCTACAAAACCCTGTTTTTTCGTGGAACGGTGGGATTTTGACCCGGAATGTGGGAATTTGGGGGGGGGGGTGGTGATGGAACCGTCTCTCGGGGATTCGCCTTTTTGGGGGAACGTGGGTGGGACTAAAATGAGGATTTAGGGGAAAAATCCAACCTATCCCTGTGGCCGTCGGTGGGGGCGGAGCCTCAGGGCCCAATTGAACCTTTCTGCTGGAAAATCGGCCGGAAGTGACGTCATGGGAATGACCTTTGCCTTCAATCCCGGCGGGTTTTATTCCCGCGGCATCAGGGGATGAAGGTCCATCCTTGGGTTGGGTTGGCGTCTCCAAAATCACCGAGTGACTCCCTGGAACCCCAAAACACCAACTGTGACCCAACAATCGGCTTCATTGGATGAAGGTCCATCCTTGGGTTGGGTTGGCGTCTCCAAAATCACCGAGTGACTCCCTGGAACCGCAAAACACCAACTGTGACCCAACAATCATCATCAGAACATGAAGGTCCATCCATGGGTTGGGTTGGTGTCTCCAAAATCACCGAGTGACCCTCTGGGACCACGTGATCCAATTGTGACCCAGCAGTCGGCTTCATCGGATGAAGGTCCATCCTTGGGTTGGGTTGGTGTCTCCAAAATCACCGAGTGACCCCCCCCCGGACCACGTGATCCAATTGTGACCCAACAATCGGCTTCATTGGATGAAGGTCCATCCTTGGGTTGGGTTGGTGTCTCCAAAATTGCCAAGTGACCCCCTGGGACCGCGTGACCTGCCTGTGACCCAACAATTGGCATCAGGACATGAAGGTCCATCCTTGGGTTGGGTTGGCATCTCCAAAATCACCAAGTGACTCCCTGGAACCCCAAAACACCAACTGTGACCCAACAATCGGCTTCATTGGATGAAGGTCCATCCTTGGGTTGGGTTGGTGTCTCCAAAATCACCGAGTGACCCCCCAGGACCATCGTGGTCTCCATTGGCTTTGTCTTCTTGGAGAAGACGTCCTTGGCCGTCCTGGAAGGCCGTCGGGGTCAAAGATGGGAATCTTCTCAGTGTTCTTGGACGCCGGGAAGCTGCCGAACCACGTGATCCGACTGTGAGCCAGCAGTCGGCATCGGTGGATGAAGGTTCGTCCTTGGGTTGGGTTGGCCAAACTCAGTCACCTCTGGAATCACCGGATGATCCCCTGGGCTCACCAGGACTTTGCCACTCATGGTCTCCGTTGGCTCCATGGTCTCGGCGAAGGGTCTCCCCAAGCATCCGGTGCTCCGGCCGCGGTCGAGACGGGAATCCTCCAATCCCACTCCATCCCCTCAACCCCCCGTGGCCACGTCCAGCTCGTGCCAGGATTCCTCACAGAAGCTCCCCAGGAGACTCGGAGGAGGACGGAGAAGATCCTCGTTCGTCTTCCCAGAGGAACAACACCCGGAATGTGGGTTTTGGAGAAGCCCAACCGGGATGGTTCCTCTTCCAGCCCAAAATCGGAGCGGGGCTGTGCTCGGCCGACTCGTGTCACGGGGCTTTTTTTTGGGAGCTGATGTTTATTCCCACCCGGTCCTGGATTATCTGGGGCTTTTTTTGCTCTTCCCACTCGAGTTTCTCCTGAATTTGGGGTTTCTTCCCCATCCCGGGAGCGCTTTGATCCTGATCCGAGTAGGACGGGAACTGGGGGGTCGTGAAGCCGCCTCTGCTCCCCAGGATCCGCTCCCAGGTGTGGTTTATCCATAGGGATCATCTGCTGGATCATCTTGTCTCCAGCTCTTGGCCTTGGATCTTCCCCGGGATGAGCAGCAGGTCCTGCAGAGCAATTCCATCCTCAGGGAAGAGGAACTCGGCTCTTGGGCTTTCTGGAAAGGCCCCTCTGGAGCTGTGGATGCTCAGCAGGACCACGGACACCCATCTGGAGCTGTGGGTGCCCTTCCCAATCCATGGACACCCCTCTGGAGCTGTGGATGCTCAGCAGGACCATGGACACCCATCTGGAGCTGTGGATGCCCTTCCCAATCCATGGATACCCCTCTGGAGCTGTGGATGCCCTTCCCAATCCATGGACACCCCTCTGGAGCTGTGGATGCTCAGCAGGACCATGGACACTCCTCTGGAGCTGTGGATGCCCTTCCCAATCCATGGACACCCCTCTGGAGCTGTGGATGCCCATCCCAATCCATGGACACCCCTTGGAAGCCGTGGGTGCCCATCCCAATCCATGGACACCCCTCTGGAGCTGTGGATGCCCTTCCCAATCCATGGACACCCCTCTGGAGCTGTGGATGCTCAGCAGGACCACGGACACCCATCTGGAGCTGTGGATGCCCTTCCCAATCCATGGACACCCCTTGGAAGCCGTGGGTGCCCATCCCAATCCATGGACACCCCTCTGGAGCTGTGGATGCTCAGCAGGACCATGGACACCCCTCTGGAGCTGTGGATGCCCTTCCCAATCCATGGACACCCCTCTGGAGCTGTGGATGCCCATCCCAATCCATGGACACCCCTGTGGAGCTGTGGATGCCCATCCCAATCCATGGACACCCCTCTGGAGCTGTGGATGCCCTTCCCAATCCATGGACACCCCTCTGGAGCTGTGGGTGCCCATCCCAATCCATGGGTACCCATCCCAATCCATGGCCACCCCTCTGGAGCTGCGGGTGCTCTCCAAGACCATGGACACCCCTTGGAAGCCGTGGGTGCCCATCCCAATCCATGGACACCCATCTGGAGCTGTGGATGCTCAACAGGACCATGGACACCCCTCTGGAGCTGTGGATACCCATCCCAATCCATGGACACCCCTCTGGAGCTGTGGGTGCCCATCCCAATCCATGGCCACCCCTCTGGAAGCTGTGGGTGCCCATCCCAATCCATGGACACCCCTTGGAAGCCGTGGGTGCCCATCCCAATCCATGGACACCCCTCTGGAGCTGTGGGTGCCCATCCCAATCCATGGACACCCCTCTGGAGCTGTGGGTGCCCATCTAATC